TAAGCCATGCGCATTGCACGAATAAGTTTCAAACAGATCACTCACACGCAGCGCTCTTCGTAACACCACTCCACCTTCCGTAGTATTGCAAATGTAAACAGATAAACGACTGGACTTGTTTCCTTGTCGAATGAGGGCACATGCATCCATTTCTTAAAATCTATTTAAAGATTTGTTAACGAACAAAACCTTTTCTACAGTTATTTACTTGTTACCTGTAGATCTTCTAAAAACAACGGACAAGCTCACTGTAAGACTGTTCAGCCGAACTTGGACCTACCTAGGTGTTGAAAAAACGAGCGATGTCGGTAGACATGTGCTTTTAATGGATTGAAATAAACATCTGGGATAAAGCATCAATGGTCACTGAAAAGGAAGCAAGTGTGGTTTTCATACCGAAAATCGGAGATAGCGATTTAGAATAGATGTACCAAATAGATTCTTTCCAAAACAAAAAATGTCAACATTTTTTGGCGTTAAAGTAGCTTTGGTCACGGCGAAGGGTTGAGCTCAGTCAGCGGACACGATGCACCTTCGTTGGTTTTTCTCGTTTCTTGTATATTTACGATAAATCAACAAAGTATGTGTCATTATATGATGTTTCCCAAACAGTACCGGTTACACAGACAAAATAGTATAACGGCCCACAACACCAGAAATAGTAAAAACGCACAGCTTGTGAAATGGAGACATAAGCGTCGTGTCGTAAAGGTTTCCGCGTGCAAATTAATTGGATTATCTAGGTCACCTTGCATACTTTTCCTTTCCGTCTCCGTTGGAACAAATTGCCGCCATATTCCTCTGTCCTTGGCAATATTGTGCATCATTCAGTAGGGTTTGGATGTAAGGGATTTAACTTGGCCCATAGAATATCTCAATTATTCTAATAGTGAAGCTATTATCCTCCTTGTTGTTCTCGGTCTGCCTCTTATTCTCTTGCCAGGTGGTTTCCAGTGTAAAGACAACGTGGTAGAAAAGAAAGCACTATTTTCATTTTGACTTGGTAGAATAGATATATTCTTTAAATATATTTGTATGTTATGGTTAGATATATATTACTCGGGATTCGAAAATGCTGATTAATTCGTGCCAAAGCGGCTTTCGTGATTTATTTTCCAGCCTTTTCTTATCCTCGATATGTATTCCACCATAATAAACGCACATAGTTGATTCTTATCAAGCAGTCGTCCTCTGATCCCAAATCTCATTGTAGACGTATTAAACAATTAATGCAATCGTCTGGTTCCTCACAATCGACACCTACTCTTGTAGATCCTGTTTGGAACAGTGACGTTATAAGTGGCGAAGTAACTAATTCAATGACTATTTTTGTAATATAACTTGAGAAGATGACAGTAACATTACGGTTCCGATCACCAAGCTAAACACTGATAACAGAGTAAACTATATTGAAACACGAGACGTTCTACAGTTACTGAAGCTCGACAAGGCCTCAGGCGAGGAGAGAATCAGTCACCGTATGTTAAGAAATGCCTCGCAAATCATTTGTATTGCCTTTGAAATTATTTTAAATATATTCTTATCGACAGGTGTTTATGTGAATATATGGAAAACGGCAAAAGGAATTCCACTAATTTTTAAAAAGTGACAGGCATTTTCCATTTAATTATAAGCTATTTTCTCTATCATCTACTTCTGGGTCAGTTTTTGAACAAGTGAAATTCTTTTTTTTTTTAATTTAAGCATCAGCCTGGCATTACGCATGGTCATTCGACTGCATATCAGCTCATTGAAATTTATATCAACTTTTAATATTTATGATTATTACTTTATTTATAGAGAATCACTTTTAAGGATCACACCGATCTTTTAAATGATCTTCTACGTATGTATAACAATGAAGTTAAACAGCCATATATGTACACTGTTACAATTCAATAGAATATCAAACATTTACATTAACAGCAATATTAACATATGTACACTGTATTGACATTTAGAAAAGTTTCTGAGTCTTAGATAATTCCATGTCTTGGGTTGTCGTTCCAAATGATTGCGCCCGAATATTGGAATGAGTTTTTTAAACAGTTTGGATTTGGGGCCACACATAAGTTAAATATTTGCAGTAGATGATCGAGAATTGTGTTCATGAGTTTTTAACAGCACGTAAGGTTTAATTACATATTTATAGAGATGCATGCTTATGTTTTTTCTGATATCTGAGAAATTATAGAAAGAATTTAAATAGATCTAGAATGATTTCCGTCCGGGTTTGTACCTTTCTTGTGAACTGGAGTGACATTGGCTATTTTGACAATGACAAGCAAAGAGCCCTTAGCTATGCCCATATTAAATACTGGGCAACGTTTAAGAACCGAAAGTATACCTACTTCAGAACCAAACAACGGGTCCTGTTCCAAAGTTTAACTGAGAACTATCGTGTATGGTAGTTCTAAGAGTTTGTTGGACCTCAAACGTTTTTTTACCACTGATGAACCTCTCCAGAGGTAAAACGCTAGGAAGCTGTTCAGAAACTTTTTCGTTTTCTTTTGATATATGATGATAGAAAGTTACAGCCTAATCCTGTATCCGAAAGGTTTTGTACATTTGCTTTCGCATTTCGAAAGTCGTGACGGCCAGCCTAGATTACGAACTTCAAGCATATTTTGATGTGATTCTCTATAAATACCACAGTATTTTTCTCACGCTTCGAATGCTTGTTTTGTTTTATGTACATATGCAGGGGCTTTACCTAAATCTAATATGTACTGTTCTGTGAACCTGTTGTATGTCTGTGTGGCCCCCACCTTTACCTATTTATATATATTCTCTTCACATGCCACACCAGATTCCGGACGATAGATGGAGATAAATCACGACACTTCCCGTAATTCACCGAGTGCCGTCATCACGTGATCAGTTTAAACAGACATGCCCACACACGACTGTCAGTATTCCATGTGTAACGATGTTAACGGTGTTATTAAGGCTTGGCGAGTTATTAGGATATTTTACCACAGATCCTTATCTAGGACAGCGGTTAAATTCCTCGATACTTTGTGTCTCTTCATCACCGAGCGCGCGCTGTGATCAGCCTCAGTACCAGGCTATACGTATACGTAAGAGCTGTTATAAAGTTTGCGTGGACTTAGTAATTAAGGGAGTCAAATTGAAATCAGGAGAACATGGGGAAATGTCTATGGCAGTTAGTCATTTCATTTGAAAAGATATTTAGACATTGGCAACAAAACATGACGAAACCTTGTAGGAGTAACGGGATAAGAGATACTTCAAATGCCCTGTTGTCCGTAGGATCAATAAGATATTTTTGTCAGGAAGGCAGACAGAAGCCAAATGAACTTAACGGTTACATGAAAAGTTTATTTTTATTTTTGAGACATGAAATGAAAATAATAATGGATAATTTGGTCAGTACCACCTGCTTGTCATCCCATCGTAAACATTCCGACCAACTTTGAATTATTTCCTGCTTAAAATGACCAAAACATGGTCGGAAAGATATCTTCTCCGCACCCCTAGAATATGTAATGAAAATAAATCGGAGGCCGCGCGGGGTAGGTTATTCATTCGGTTTCAAGTATATAAACATGACCAAATTGCCAGGCTGATACCTGTCCTTTGACGATTACAGAGGAGCGACATTAAAAGCCTGCCATCTTCAAAAGCATCAGAGACTAGTCTACTACAATGACAATGACAATTGTTTTATTCTCATACACAATACAGTGTAGAGAATACATATATACAAATGGGTGACAATAATACATGGTGGAACAGGATGGACATTAGTATTGTAAATTAATTATGTAATTAATATCGGTAATACATTTAGCCAATGATGTCAATTCATGTTGTGTTACATAATTGAATAATGTATGATATTTAAATGTGTTTGGTCTTTCATAATAATATCTGGACATACGTTTTCGCCTACTATTGAGTATTGGTTGATGTGTACATGTAAACAAATAATGAAATACGTCTCCAATTTCTCTTAAATAACATAAACTACATAATCTATTTTCACGTGGTATATTGAACCACCTACCACTTTCAATTGGTAATTTAGTATTACATGTTCTAGCCTTAAAATACGCTTTGGCTAGTTTCGGAGGGAGTTCTAATAATTAAATATTCTTTAGTTGATTCCTTTCGGAGAGGTATACATTTCATTTCCCCAGTTTGATATACATTTTTCTTTTAGTTTATAAAATATGGTACTCTTTAGCCAATGTATATATGTATCAGACCGCATTCTTCAAAAAATTCTTTTCACTTATTTTAGCCATGATGATTCATAATTTGATAAAATTACTAACTGTTTATTACTTAAAGTATTCTGGTTGTTTTTTGTCAATTTAGCCAAAATCCGAGCAGTATAATAAAGATCCTTCGATTTCGTCATGACATATTCCAGGGGTCCTAGATGATATGTAATTCGAGAGGGAAACCGTTAGATTTCGAGGATGAGAGTGTGCGTGCTTTATGCAATCGACGAGGAGGGCGCTATAAACAACAGCCCAGATTGAACATCTCACAACTCAAATGATAACATGGAATTGAAGTATAAAGGAAACTTGATCCGAGATCCGTGCCGTTTATCAAGCTATGTTCCGTTACAGATAGGCGGATCAGGACGCTTCTGATACTACTGACAAGACGTATCACCCGCCTTATCTAGAGAAAAGAAAATGTAAGTTGTCAAAGAAAATATTGAAAAAATGCACAACGTAAGAGTTGATGTGCCTATCTTGGCGGTGCTGGTGTTACTCGATACCTTGATTTCTGATAAATATTGCCAAAATATGTTCGGATAGCTGTTAATTTAAACAGAGAGGGGTTCGCATAAATACAAGGCATGGTAATTGAGTCTTAACGATGTCTTTGATTGTTGATGCGGCGAAACTGAATCATTGGTTTATACTACAGTGCCTGTTCCGAGTGTGACAACACACAGCTGTTTGCGAGGGTTGTTGTTTAACTTGTTTGAACTCTCGTCTGTTTGGGAGGGTTGTTGATTATACTTGTTTTAGGGGGTTGTGGATTACACTTGTTTGGACTCTCGTCTGTTTTAGGAATTTGTTTGGGTTCTCGTCTGTTTGGGAGGGTTGTGGATTACACTTGTTTGGGCTCTCGTCTGTTTGGGAGGGTTGTGGATTACACTTGTTTGGGCTCTCGTCTGTTTGGGAGGGTTGTGGATTACACTTGTTTGGGCTCTCGTCTGTTTGGGAGGGTTGTGGATTACACTTGTTTGGGCTCTCGTCTGTTTGGGAGGGTTGTGGATTACACTTGTTTGGGCTCTCGTCTGTTTGGGAGGGTTGTGGATTACACTTGTTTGGGCTCTCGTCTGTTTGGGAGGGTTGTGGATTACACTTGTTTGGGCTCTCGTCTGTTTGGGAGGGTTGTGGATTACACTTGTTTGGGCTCTCGTCTGTTTGGGAGGGTTGTGGATTACACTTGTTTGGGCTCTCGTCTGTTTGGGAGGGTTGTGGATTAAACTTGTTTGGGCTCTCGTCTGTTTGGGAGGGTTGT